AGGGACCTCAGGGATCATCTAGTTCCAACTTCCCTGTTAAGAAAAGGTAAGAGAGGGCTGGGGTTGTTTTACAGTTCGGAAAGTGAAACCCAGGTAAGTTGTATGACTTTTCTTAAGTTATGCAAGCCAAAGCTCACATGGGAAGAAAATGGGAGAGTGGGCCTTCAGACTTTCCTCTCATGAGGTCTGGGCTGGCCTAGGTTAGTTCTACAGACTGGATTAGCCTCTTCCTTCAGCTTCTTCCCCACACTCTGCTGGCCTTAACCAAAGCTGGCCAAAATCAGAAGTAATTCCATGCCATTATTTCTTCTACTGAAGTGGTAGAAAAGGGAAACAGTCCTTACTTGAGTGAGGTCAGAAGTAACTGGGAAGCAAGCAGAGGGAAGGAAAAAGATGTGGAAAGCATTGCCAAAGGTGTCCGTGGCTGGCTCATGCACAACATCTCAGGTGTCTTGAGGAATTAAGAATAACTTGGAATGAGCTTTAAAAAAAAGTTCAGGCCAATGTAAATCGGCTGTAACAGTTCAGTAGTTTTCCCCAGGACCTGACAAAACAATCAAGGGAAGGATTTTTAATTCTGCACATAGAAAAAGCCTGATCCTAGACTTCAATTTGCACAGTAGAAATCCCTGATTAAAAAGGAGCCAAACACTGTTGTGCTTCAGGAAGTAGGAGAATTAGGGATGCTTACTTTGGACGATGGTGTAACTTTACAGCCTAAACGAGGGGAGATGCACAGCTGCATCTCCCCAGGAGCGGGGAACTGAATATATTGTGAGTCAGTCACAGTTCCTCCCTATCTTCCCTCCACCACAACTTGCATTCCCTTTGCTCTGCTACAAAAGTCAATTACTTCATCCTCTTTTTTTTCTTTTTTTTTCTTTTTTTTTTCTTTTCCCATGGAGCGGTTTACTCTCCCATGCTCCCAGCCAGCTCTTTTGGCGAGCGAGGAAGCAGAGTGGGGTGAAGCTTGGGCTCTCTGCACTTCTGTCATCTCAGTATCCCCTCTCCACCCACTTCCTCTCAGCAGGGAGTATTGGGTGAGCAGTCCCTGCTCCTCTGGCTGCAGGAAGAGTTGTTCTGAGCAAGCTGAGCTTGAACAGCCATGGGAGCAAAGCTAGGGAAGAGGGGGGGACAATCCTCCCTCCCTTTTATATTCCTGACGAGGTACCAGCTCTGGCAACATGTGGTGAGTAGCAAAAGCATCCTGTGTAAATTCTGAGGTAAAGGCCTGTGTTCAAATGAGATAGGATATTACTAATGCTGGAAAACTGGGGAGCATAATCCGTAAGTCCTCTGAAGGACCTTCCTAACCTGCTCGCAGTCTGTTACTAGAAAATATGGAAAGGAGCCCACTGCAAAAACAAAACAAAGCAATCACATCCTTAGGAACTTCGGGGAGGCAAACATATGGGGGAACTTTTTACAAAAGGGGAGAGGTCAGTCAATGTCTTGGGATAACTGCATGTAAAGGAGATAAAAAGTTCTCAGGCCTTTTTGACAGTGAGAACACAAAGAGCTTTGCTGAGCTGCATGCAGGAGTAATGGGCTTTTTTGATGGAAAGCAGCTTTTCCTATGGCTGGAGGTGAAGGAAAGCCTACACATACTCAGGAGATATCTCCTGTGCCCTCCTAGGAAAAGACAAAACCACACACAATCCTCTTTTCTGTCCTGTGGTCCCATCATCTCACCCTAAAGCAACATCTCTGGTCTGAGAGCACCTCAAGCCTCTGAAATTTCTTCCTTGACAGTGTCACAAAGGCCTCTTTCTTGTCTGCATTTATATGAAGGCACAGTTTGGGATGTCAAACCTCCAGTAGGGCTTTGATTGAGATGAGTGGAAAGCAGAAGAGAACCTGGCAGGTCAAGCCTGGGGCTTTCAGACTGTCTGGACCATGGAACTCAAGGGCATGGGCAGAAGTTGGGTTTAAAAGCAAAATGCTTTGCTAGAGTTATCCAGTAAAGATAAGATGTATTTTCAGACTGCTAGAAATTAGGGAAAATTGAAAAGGATATTTATTCCCATTTTAAATTATTGAATGGTATTATGCTTGGAGACAGTTGTGTGTATGCAACTCTTAAAAACTAAAGCTTGAGGCCAAGCTCTGCTTTTGGTCACACAGAAAGCAGGCGACTGCAGACTGAGTTGCATAAAACTGAGGTCATAATCTGGCATAAAGTCTGAGCTGGCTTGGTTTTCTCTTCAGCTAATGTCAGTAATGGTAAGCTGTTATGATGAAACCCAATAGGGAATGGGTCAGGTGTTAATGCTCACAATCACCATGATTCCAAATAAACTGGAGGAATTTAAGAAACAATGCTGTGTCTTCTACTTAAAAGTTGCTTGCATAGACTTAAAATACTCTTTAGATTTAAAATAACTGCAGACTTGTGTGCTGCTTCTTCAGATTTACCTGGATGAAGAAAGTGTGACTGTTTTTGGAAGATCTTTCAGTGGCAGGTCTCTAAGAATATTGAAAAATGGAATATACAAATATCTGAACATCAAGCTGGTAAAACAAAATGATCTTCTTGTCCTCTTTTCTGTGCTCTATCACCAAGTTGAAGCTAAGATCAGCACTTCACCAAATTATTTCCTTTTCCTTTAATTTGGGAATAATACTGAGCTTAGACTGAAGCTGGTTGTGCTGGTCTACAGCTATGTGGAAGAAAAAAACAGCATTACTGCAAGAAAGGAGACTAGTTCATCTACATTCTAATGGAAGAAATGTCTTTAATGCAGGTATCACTCCACAAAAATGCATTGTAGCTTCATTGCCTTCCTCCTAACCTTCAATTTTTGTCAGTGAAAATGAGAGTTTTATACATGGTATAAAGACAATGAATGACCCCTCCATTTTCTTTAATTTGTTTCTAACTGAAGAGAAATTTTCAGGCTACAGTAAGGTCTCAGGTTCAAGATTTGAAATTGAAGTTCTGTATTAGTGTTCAGTATTTTCCTTCAGGAGATGGAATCTGAAATACCTAGCAGGGAGACTGAGGAACAACTTGTTCAAGGACTGTTTTGTTCTGAAAAGTCTTCACTTATTAAACTCCTTGTAAAAGCGGAAAATAATACAAAAAAAGAGAAGGTTTTTAAGCCATTACTATTGAACCTAAAGAACATAGCCCTTAAAATGTTAGTAGCTCCTTGTCCTTTGTGTTCTGGGAAGGCAAAATTGCAGCCCAATGAAAATGGAACAAACCAAACCCCACAAACACCATTGTTAGGAAGGTGCAAAGATGAATAAATAATGCTTATGCTTTGGAGCACAGGCAGTGCTTGACTCCCCTAAACAAATACTCAAATAAATAGGAATTGTATTCTTTTTGAAGCTTCCATGGTTGTAAATTTCCTTATGGAGTGCCCTGTCATTTTCTTTCCTGAAAACATTCATGCTCCCTTCTTGAGCTGTAACGTGTTCCATATGTCACATTGCCTTTGTACAAAACAGTTCAGACTCAGCTCTCCTTTCATCCCCCTGACCTAATTTTAAAGTCTTACGACTGTGGAGGACTAATCTGGATCAGTTTGATCAGACTCTCTAATTTTATAAATGCCATTTAACACACCACAACTTTTTTCTCCCTTTTCCATAACAATAAGCTCAACCAAGTTCTTTGTTAAGTGTTGCTCTTATAAACTCCCTTAAATTCAACCTCTAATTAAACAGTGCTCTGTGTCTCAGTTCATTATTGTACTGCTTGCTTTCATTCAAGTGAATTTTTAAAGTAATGCAACACAGAAGCTTAATTATCATCTTGTTTTTCTGGTATTCTCTGGAGTAAATGCCAAGGAGGATTTGTTTTTGCTAATTTTTTTTTCTTTTTGCTTTGCATACAGCATAATTTTTTTCCTGCTCAAACACTTCTTTTGATCTTATTTCTTTGAATAAATTGCATTTAGCATCTTCACAAGCATTTTTTTTCTTAATGCCTTCCCATAATTCTTCTGTTTATGAAATGTATGTGGTTAAATATGGTCCAGATTGTTCAGTTTACTAATTCAAAAGTTCTCACTCTTGGTGTTCCTGTGCCTCACCTCTTTCTCTAACACTAGTTTAGACTGGGAAAAACTCCACTGCAGCTGATAAAATGAAACGTGTGCAAACTAAGCACAAGTGACAAAAGAAGGGCCACCTCTCTTTCTGATTCTGTTCTATCAATATTCACATTCTTCAAATATTCCAAACCATAACCCTGACACAATGTCTTTTCAGTAGATTAATCTGCTTGCTATCAGTTCAGTTTCTGTTTGTTCTCCTGGTGGGGAAAAAAAAATCAAATCATTTTAAGAAGGATCACATAGACAAGTTGCACCAGCTCAACCATGAAATTTTAACTGAGCCTGTATCAGAGGCACTGATGTAAAGCAGAATCAGTCAGGGACTGCAATATTAGGAAAAAATTCTCCACAAAAAGTGTTGTAAAGCATTGGAACAGATTACCCAGGGAAGCAGTAGAGTCACCCTCCCTGGAAATGTCCAAAATACATGTGGCACTTGAAGACACAGTTCAGCGCGGCATGGATCTTCACTCTCTCAAATCTCTGCTTGTGGAAGGCAGCTCCATCTGTCTGTACCTGATTGTGCCTCTGGTTGTTTCCAGGTGGACTCAACCTGGCAAACATGACGTAGGCATAGGCCAGATCTATACTAGTGTTTTTCATGTTGTTTTTTAAATCAAAATCTCTGTCAGACAGAGGTTTGCCTGTACACCATGGACACAGATGTGCTGCTTCAAAGTCCTTGTGTTGTACAGCTTATGCTTGAGAAAGGGCATGGCTCTGGTGGTGGTGAAATCCCTTTTTTTTTTTTTGTCATGTCCTGTCATCCCATTGGAGCTTTTTAGGTGGAGACAACTGCCTGAATTGTGGCTCTGGACAAGCCATTTTGCTCTCCTCAGTTTCAGGAAAGTTGTGATTTGGTATTTTTGGAGTATTTACTGTCATGGTATTCCCACTAGGCTGAATGGTGCCCCAGCGATTGCTGTTTTGCAGGTGAAAATCTTTCTGCAAAAGAGAGGAGCTGACCTGCCTGAGGTGCACAGGAGGCCTGTGGCGTGACAGGGCTGGACTGGAAGAAGTCAATGCAAGCAGAGGCCAGAGAAGCTTCTAGGTTTGGACCTGCTGGTTCCTGCAGCAGCACACTTCATTGAGTAGTACCAAAAATGAATTTTGTTCTGTGTTGTGATTTGCAGTTAGGTTCTTTGGTTTCCTAAAAAATCAAATTGCAGCCAAAGCTTCCACAGCAGTTTGGATGTTAAATTGTTATGCTGTGTGGATTGCCTGCTACTGATAGCTCCAGGATTCTCTCCTGTGGAAACCCAGGGCACCGGGAATATTTCTCTGTCTGCTCTGAGGTGCCATGACCCCCAGGGGAGCACTGACTTTGACCCCCATTCATGGAGAAAGTTTCCTAGACTTCAAGACAGACTAGAATCCACAAAAGTGTGAAATAGATTATAGAAAAGATTATAGCGTAAGTGTATCACTTGGTGAGAAATTTAGGTTTTGGGATTTTTAATATGTTGTGGATGGGAGAAAGATGGAGGGCACAGGGTGTCATTCTGGGTTTCTTCTTCATGCTTCTTCCTTCTTCTTCATGGGTTTGGGTGGCATTTTGTAATTGGGAAGAAAAGTCCACATTGCGGGCTCTTTGGGATCAGTTATTGGGTTAAAAGGGAAAATAATCTGGGTGTCAGTTCTTAATTAGATAGTTTAGTTTTAAAAGACCTTGTAACAAGAGATTGTTAGCCATTTTGTGCCTTCTAATGAAAAGCTGCCGAACTCACAGTGATGAGACTGTTCTACTAATAAGAAATAATAAACGCCTGAGTCCAAACATGAACTACTGTCTCAAGTGCCTTCAGTCCAGACCCAGAAAAACCGATGACTGGTACCCCCACACTCTCCCTTGTCTGGACTTCCCTCAGGGGGATTAGTTCTTCCATCCTTTCTCTCTGGCCATCTGGTGAAAGTGAAACACCTTGAGATCTTCTCTCAGCAGAGGCCAAGTTAAAAGTTAATTAGGAGGGACTAAGAGAAAGACACATGGCTGTATCACTATATCAGACTCACATATTACAAAAATTGCTGGGAATTGGGTGAGATGGGCTATGGAGACATGCAGAAACACTCCTAGATTTTGCCCCATATCTTTGTTGGAGCCTTCTGCTCTGTGCAGACCACAACAGTTTCATTCCCTCATTCCCTCTGCCACAGCCCCAGTTTCCCCTGGTGTCTCCTCCACCAAGAGCAGCTATACTAAAATGTTCATTCCTCTCTGTCATTTCTGCACAACAGAAGAAAGAAGAGTTTCAAAACATAGTTCCCCCTGCTTCACATGTTGTTTTGCAGGTACTTTCTTAGTCCACAGAAGTCCCTGAACACTTTAGCTCAGGTGGGCAAAGCAGGACAGGCTTTGAATGCAGGAAATTGAGCCAAATTATCAGAGAGCAATTGAGGTTTACATCTCTACTAGATAGATTTTTCTCTTAGAGCCCTGCAAAGTTGAGATGGGGTTGTTTGAAGTGTACAGAAGAAATTGGTGGTATTGTACTAGAATTTTTTGAAAAGACTTTAAATCACTGGAGCTTGTCTCAGGTACCAAGAATCTAACTGGGGTTTGAACCACTATTTAAAATTGGCACTCAAAAGCCAAGGAAGTCTCTCAGAAGCCAAGGGAGTCTCAAAGAGATAAAAGTCATGAATCTGGCAAGAAAGCACATGGGTCAATGTCAAAAAGTTTACAAGTTGACCATCTGAAAATATTTTGGCTTCAGTTCTACAGATCAAAACAGCTTATTTGACTTGAACTTTAAAACAAATAAACAATCAAAAATATGTTTAGAAGGACAAATTGTTTAATTGTTTACAGTGAGCAGGCCTTCCTTCCAATGGTTTGAATTTAATTGATTCTATTTTTCTGATCCAAACCTTTTCAGGAATTTGAGAAGGCTGGGATGTACAGTGTGTTTACTACAAAATGAGAATTTCATATGATTTCTCTAGGAAGTCCATGACTTGAAGGATAGTATAATTACAGTAGAATTGTACGATCTAACAATATCCAGAGGATCTGAGGAACAAGGATTTAAAGGCCTTGAAAGTCCATTTTCTGTGATGATCCAGGCATCTGAATTTTGCTTAGAAGGCCAGATCTTCTGTAGTTTAGCAGCACTGAGTCATCCCACTGGTTTGTATCACTGTGAGCATCTGGCCCTAACCTGAAAATACTCCAATGCTTTGTGAAATTATCTCATTAAGTGAAAAAACAATGAACCTTGATTGTCAGCATGTGTCATTCAGGAGCTGAGTTTTGGTTTGATGCCAGTACACATTTTCACCAGTGCTAAGATTGGCAACTTTATTTCTTCATGAGAAATTTAAAAAAAAAATCTCTCTTCTCCTCCCTCCTACCCATCTTTGCTCTTCTCCCAGCTGTCATCACTATTTGCAGTTTAAGTAAGTGAAAATATATATTTACAAGTACAGCTTACTGCTGTGTTTGCTGGTATAGACTGCCCGAGGGCATATCTGGGAATAAAGTTCCCATCTCCATCCAGAAATTCATTCCCTCCTCTCCTCAGCCTTGCCCCTCCCTGGCCCTGTTTCCGTAAGCTGGATGTTCACTCTCGTCTCTTGGATTCTCATCTCTTTGGGAGGGAGACTGATGCCTTCCTTCATTCCGGGACACGAGTGCTGTCAGATGTTGAGCACTAAGTGATGCTCCCATCTTTCCCCAGCAGGGAAGGCCAACCCTCCTGCCCTTATCCTGCACCTCCTGCTCGGAGAACCTGCAGGCTGGATGAACTGACGCCACAGAGCCAAAGTTTCACGTGCCTGCCCTGCAGCTGGCTGGCTTCACCTCCTGGGTCTGTGTGTGAAAGCAGACTTGGGAGAGGGTTTTGTTTTCAGCCTTGTGCTGTGGCCCTTTTCCTGGCTGGACACACGCCCATTGGACAATCCCACAGCATCCTGCTTGCCTGCCAGCCCCAGATACCAGAAGCATGTCCCCATTTCCTCTCCCCTTACATGGGGAATTCTGCAGGGTCTTGTTTGCTACAATACAGAAAAAATGTGTCTCACACAGTTTGGGGGCAGTGAGGCCAGATCCTGAGTGAGGCTTCCAGATGTTATTGCAATAGTAATTAAAAATATACCATAACTAAGTGAATGAGGTACAATACATTTAAAATTGTGCTTTTCAAATGTATTTATAAAAATGTTGCCAACACCCATGGTCTTGTCATAACTAGGCTTCATCATCGTGCAGATTGTGTTTGTGGCATTCCAGGTGCTCAGGACTTCGAGTTCTGCTGAGACCAAGGAAAAGCTGATGATTCTTGGAAATTTTGCAGGATACCTCCTCAGAGGTCAGCTAGTCAGAAAAGAGTGTCCTGTGGTTAAGTCACTAACCTGTGTTCAGCTCCTCAATCCCCTAGGAATTGCCTTTATAAATTTGGAAAGACATTAATGACTTGTTTATGCTGCTAAATTTAACTTCTTTTTTTTTTTTTTTTGGTCCTGCAGCATTACTGGTGAACATGTAGCTGCTACATGTTGCGCCAGTAAAGACAAAACATGTTCATTTTAGTCTGAGGTATGTTTGCTGAAGTTGATTCACTAGCACAGATGAAAGATTTGTTTATTTTGTAACTAAAATGCATTTAGTGGTTCTGAGGTAAAAGAAGAATGCAGCTTTTTTAAGCTACTTTTCTACCTGTGAAATGGGAATGAAAGTAATTAATCCCGATGATACTACTGAGATACTGTAATTACTTTGGAAACTGAGAGGTTATATTTGTGGTGGGAGATGCTGCGGGAGATGAAGATAGCTCTGTATCCAAGATTCCCTAAACATATTCAAGTATGGGCAAAAATATATTCAGATATTTGTCACAACTGCACATTTCACTCATCTGTGTTACAACAACTAAAAACAAAAACTAGAGAAAACTAGGTTTTTGCTGGCCATCATTTCCCTAGCTGCAGAATATCTGTAATGAAAGTTTGCATGAACATAGCTGCAAGTGGTGCTATGAGACACAGACCTGGGAGGCTCATGATTGATGCAGGCAGTTATCAGTGGTCTGTGGGTAACTTGAACAGTGCTTGAGAAAGGTGTGAACCCACTCAGCCTTCACCTCCAGGAGGATAATAACAGTGGGTTTTGCTGATGTTTTAGTAGATCATAGTATCACAGAACCACAGAGCTTCCTGGGTTGGAAGGCACCTTTAGATCGTCTCATTCCAAACTCCTGCCATGGGCAGGGACACCTTTCACCATCCCAGGTTTCTCAGAGCCCTATCTAACCTGGTTTTCACATATTTTGCCTTGTCTTTGTAAACCATAATGATTTTTTAAAACATAATTATTTTGCTAATAAAATTTATCCAGACACTAATTTTTGATTCCAGCTCCTTATTTGTTTTTACATTAGGCCACACAGAAGCAATTTCAGTTAAAAAAAAAGTGACCCTCTTAACTCCCTGGAAGTGTTTACATGGGCATGAGTAACCATAGAAACCTTGTGTGCTGACTCCCTCTGTTATCAGTGTGAAAACATTTGGGGTGATCATAGTAATTAAGTTTTTTTGTGGATCTCCCCCTCCTACATGTAAAACCTCACAGCGATGGCTCAGATGAGATCTTAGTTCAAGAAAGAACATAAATATGTTCAGTTCCTTTCAGTGAATCATCCCCTCCAGAAAAAAAAAGGGGGAAAACCAGTATGATGGGAGGGATTTCTGAACTCTGATAGAAGCGCTCACCTCCTCATGGCAGCATGCTTTGCTGCCTTTGCAGCTTTCAGAATGAATAACCAAAGAACTCTATAACACTCTGGGAAGTGACAGACAATTACTTTAAAGCCCTGATTCTTTGATGGCTTTAGAAAATGGTTCAACATTTTTAGACAGGATAGGTATTTGAGGAATATTAGTGGGATGAGTGCATCTACCAGCCGGAAAAGTCCTGCTCCTATGTCGTTTGCCAAAGATGCAGCTTCCCTGGAATGTGGGATTGATAAAGAAGAGAATCCAGTTTTTTATTCCCTACAGAGATAAATTGGAACACAAAGGAGTTTAGCACATGCAGTCTATGTAGAATTACCTTTTGCTGATAATTTTGTTCTGCAAAAAATTATGTCCCTTGGTTTAGGGATGAAATCACTGCAATGTTTCAGCAAGTCCTCTCCTCCCTTTTTCACAATAACTCACACAGGAAGGCATGAAAATTGTATC